AACATTGCGTTTATGGATTAAAGACTTGTTCACACTATTTTCATATCTCGTATAATGTCTACAAATCCATTCTAAAGTGTTTCCAAGTTGTTTGAACTCGTTTTTGGAAAAAGCAAGTTTTTTGTTCATGTACGTGCATGTGTCCGTGCATGTTTTTACAAAGTCAGATATGTAAAATTCCAGCATCTGTTAAAATCTGGAAAAGTACGGTCGACCGCCACGGTCGACCGTGCTACAGTGCGGTTGACCGTCACGGTCAACCGTCAGCAGTCCAGAGACCGGTTTTGTAGTTTTTATTCTCACGATCGACCGCCACGGTCGACCACCGAAGTTACCGTTGTACAATAACGGTAACTTGCTGAATTTTATCTTTTAGTGGTTTTTGGGGGTTTTGGGGGTTGTTTTCTTCTACCCTATATATACCCTATTGCATTTATCATTTGATACACCAAGAGAATGTTTTAAAAGAGTTTAACAAGGGTTTAAACTTGTTTAGTGTTTGTTTAAAAGAGTGTTTAAGAAGCTTTTAAGCAATTGAGAGTTTTGGGTTTGTGAAATCAATTTCACAAGAGCTTGAGGAGATCCTATTGATGCTTGAGCATCCAACCATCCTCCTTCAATCTATTGATCTATTGAGAAGTTTTCTAAACTCTATTTTCTAGCTTTATATCTATTTGCTTGTTTATCATTTTATTAAAGCTAGTTTTGTATTGAGTTTAGATTTGATTTACCTCTTTGTTACACACACCCACATTGAGCTTATTGTATTTTCATACATAGTATAATTGGGTTGGTGAGAGTTGTAACAATTGAGAGTGAGCTTACATTGAGTTCTCATCTATTTTAGAGAACAAATCATTTGTTATATTGTGAGATTGTAAAGTTTTCGGTGAGCTAGAAAACCGAGTGTGAGGAGTATAGACGTTGATCGGTGAACGTTAAAAACCGACATTGTGAGTGTTTGTGAACGTTGATCGGTAAGCGTTAAAAACCGACATTGTGAGGTGTAAACGTTATTCGGGCGAGCGTAGAAAACCCGGTTGTGATAGTGGATTTCTCCCCGGGAGTGGGGAGCGGAGACGTAGGACGGAAGGTCCGAACTCCATGATCATATTGTGTGTTTGCATTGTTTATTTACACTATCACTCTTATCTTGTTTATGTTTATTTCACCCTTGTGTTAGTTTATATATCCTTGCATATATTACCTCTTTGCTAGGATATATCTCTTTATTCATATTGCTTATTCTTGCTTATAACTCTTGTATTTCTATTTTGTAAGAATATATTTGTATTAGTTTTACTTGGTATAAAATCGGATTAGATTAGCTTAAGACCCTAATCACCCCCCTCTAGGGTCTAACAATAAATACCCCCATTGCTCTCATCTTTCATGACTATCCAAAAAATGTTTTAATCACGTTTTAACAATGGTTTAAGTTTTGTTTAATTTTGTTTAAGAAGCTTTTAAGAAATTGAGAGTTTGATTTTTGTGAAATCAATTTCACAAGAGCTAGAAGTGATTATCACTTGGTGTTTGAGCTTCAAATCATCTCTCTCACTCTTGTCATTTATTGGAGAAGTTTTCTAAACTCAATCTAGCTTTACATTTTATATTGTTTGATTATCATTTTATTAAGCTAGTGTTCATATTGAGTTTAGTTGATTTTATTTATCTCATTGTTACACACACCCACATTGAGCTTATTGTATTTACATTAGTATAATTTAGGTTGTGGGATTGTATCATTAAGTGTGAGCTTACATTGTGTTCTCATCCATATTAGAGAACAATCATTTGTTGTATTGTGCTTATTGTGAGATTCACTTTGTATTACACTAGTACACCAAGAGGAATGTGTGGTGAGAGATGGGGTTGCTTCCAAGAGGAGTGGCGTCGGTTGACGAACCTAGGGAGAGATTGTATCCGAGCACTTGAGGAAAGACACGGGCTAGAGACAAAGACACGGGCTAGAGACCATACTTAGAGGGTGTGAAGTGTAGTTACATTGTGAGATTGTGAACATTGATCGGTGAGCATTGAAAACCGATATTGTGTGGTGTAAACGTTATTCGGATGAGCGTAGAAAACCCGGTTGTGATAGTAGATTTCTCTCCCGGAGTGGGGAGCAGAGACGTAGGACGGAAGGTCCGAACTCCGTGATCATATTATGTGTTTGCATTGTTTATATCGCCCTATCATAATTGTATCTTTAGTTTATTTTGTTTACCCTTGTGTATATCACTTATCCTAGCTCACATATCTTGTTGTATTTCATACTTGCTAGGATAACTTGTTAATTAGTTTTAATTAGCATAAAATCGGATTAGATTAGTATAAGACCCTAATCACCCCCCTTTAGGGTCTAACAAACAGTACTTCGGTGCTATAGTAACCCCGGGTTTGCTACAGTGTCGCGAGGAGAGTGAGAAGAAAAAAAGAGAGATAAAAGTTCAGATTCTGGATAGCTGGGTGTCCGATTGCAGTGATTCAAAAGCCGTTGTCTTCAGAACAACAACGTCATCGAGGGTACGGTGCTAATTTCTCCGCGGGAGTTAGAGATTTTTGGTGAGACAGATTTTAGGGTTTTGGTGCCCTAGAGGTAACACTGTATCTTTCTCTTATGATTTAATCCTCAAGTTTAGGTGTAACTTGGAGGGATTGTACTCTTGATTCATAGTAAAATATTTCTCTCTGGATTGCTCCATGGACGTAGGCACGATTTGTCGAACCACGTTAAATCTTTGTGTTTGCTTGCTTGTGATATTTTTCATTGGTGCCGTTATTCGTTTAGTGTTTAGTTCCGCAGAATAATCTCCTTAAAACCCCCAACAGAAATGATCTTCCGATGTTGAGCGTGATGAGAAGAAGTTGAACGAGACTTAGGGAATCAAATTCTCAAACTCAAACTCTCTCAAACCATAGAACTTGATCTCTCAATCTTATGCAAATAGCTCTCTCTTTGTTGTTCTTATTGTTGTTATTAATCTCATTGTCAATCCCTCTTTAAATAGACCTTGATTGAATGAGAAAGAGGTTCTCTAATCAGAGTTTCAATAGGAGATTAAATCTATCAACGAAGGATGAGATAGAATCGTGATATCTGTCAAAATGCATCCAACCCATCAATGGTTAAACTCGACCATCGATGGGCCGTTGATGATCATCGATAGTTCACCGTACTCCATCGATTGTTTAAATTCTAGTTTCTAGAATTTACAGATTGTTGGTTGTACTCTATCGATGATTGAAGTGACCATCGATGGTTAACTCAATCCATCGATGGTTCTATTTCTTGTTTTTTAAAAATATAGATTGTTGACTGTAGTCAATCGATGACTTGTTCTAGGCTGAAATCAACTCTCGTGTTGATTTTTGTATCGTTTCGAGTCACAACTTGTTCATACATGTTTATTCCTGAAGGTGATATCATCTTACAAGCTAATTAGTACCAAATAATAGTTTGTTATTAATCAAATAAAAGATATTGCACGAATATAGTTACACCCCGAATAATGTTGTAACAAAAATCACGTTATTCCGCAAAACTAATTGAGGTTATTCGACTCTTCTATATAACTTACAGAAATTACAGATTAATAAGTTTAGTTTTTAGGCACGTGTAAATGCTAGTGTTGATTAAAGAATGTGTTGCAAAGATAAGAACAGCAGGGCGTGCGTATGAGAATCATACCTGTCACCTTACGATGCACTGGTTTTTCCTTCGCATCCTGTTCGAAATAATTTCATGGCCATAATTTTTTGTTTGAAATTTCTGTTTCATGGCTCAGAATCTTCCAGAAATATAAGGTTGGGCATTATTGACCACAAATAAGATTTCTAGATTCAACTTACGCGTCGATTTCATGACAAAAAGAACTTGCCAAGCTGGTCCGCAGGTAGTAATTCTCAATATTACCCCTGCATCACAAAGATAATTGTACTAGTATATGGAGAAAATATCCAATAAAAACGGTCCATAACGTTTAACATGCACCAACATTATTATATCCGTACATAAATCTCGGGATCTGATAATCCAACATTTAACATCCTTTAATGTACATTAAATGTTATGAATCAAGAATCATTTAATACTTTCTTTAGTATATACTTATAATTTGTGCTTTGCTTTTTCTTTTCGAAGATTCTTATTACACAAACTCTAAAGGGTGGCACTAGGGGCACACCCCCAACCACAACTCCAACTACAATGTACCGGGCTCCATATGAGACCCTAAAAATTTAAAATCACATGTGGGACCCGGTATACTGTAACAAATGAGAGAGAGGGTGTGGTAGGAGTTGTGGTTAGGGGTGTGCCCTTATCATTTTCCAACTCTAAATTGTAGAATCATAGAGTGAAAGAAAAAATATATGTCAAGAAGTGGACTTTTTAAAACGGATCAGTGTGCTTCCTTATTCTAATGCCTACTTGCTCGTATCAAATGAAAAATTAAAAATGTTAATTCTTCAAAACTTTTTAGTTATAACTTCGTTGCACAACAAACGCCAAATAATTAGATCTACATGTGTCCGCATAAATAAATGAATAATAAGTAATGAAGAATTAGTTGTCAATCTAAACTTAGAATTTTACCATCTAATTTGATATATCAATGTAAATATTTTTCCAAATTAGCTTTTCACAACTCTCTAAATATGATTAAATTATGTCAATATCCCATCACTTAAGGCATATGTAAATCATGTTCAAGCTTATCAATTTCCCCTCACTCAAATGCATATGTAAATCATGCTCGAATATCTAATGTTTTATGCCGGCAAATCACAGCTATGAAGCAGTGACAAACTTTCTATTCAAACGTGTTAATTAAAATTTGAATTAATAATACCCAAATTTAATATACTACCTCGTGGTTGCCTAATCAACAAGCAATGGCACGATTCGTAATTATCTCACAATCCAGGGTCAATCCCTGAAGAATATTCCGTCAACAATCCGCAAAATAAAGATCAACCCATTCCATCCTCACTCAATCCCATTCTCCATCGTGGACGTTTCAAGATCTCCGAAAAAACCCTAACCCCCCAATTTACATCGAGCCTTCCCTTTTGAAAGGTAAAATTCATTGATCTTGGGTCCTCGAGGGTTTAGATCCTATTTCCCCCTTCGATTCTCCGCTAACTGATTTTCTCATTACAGTTTTTTTTTCCATAGAAAAGGTAAGATTCTAATGGAAGCCTCAACGGCTCTTCGATCTGCGCCGATTTCTCTCAAATTTGGCGATTGCGGTTCGAGATCTTGCGTCGTCGCTGCTCGTCGGCGTAATTTTTCTTCTGATTCTAAATCCAATCTCTCCAGTGGATTTCTAAAGGTGAATTTCTAGTTTTGGGTTTATGGATTGATGTACTATGTTGATTAGGGTTAGGGTTTTAGCTTTCTGTAGTTGAGACTTATTATTGGGTTTTTTTTTCGTATTCTTAATCGAACTGCCTTTTTTTAGCTCGCTCACTGAAGCTTAAAAGTGAGATGTTGGAGGTTATCAGTTATTACTTTTTTTTTTGAGAAAATTATCAGTTATTACTTGTTATTAGATTGGATATGTGTCAAAGTTAAGATTTTTATTTGGGAATTTTCGGTTTTTCTTCCTCTTCTGCAGAATTTGCCAGTGACTGTGATTTATATGTGTAGTTGAGCAAGCCCTTAAATTTAATTAGGTAACTTTTTTTTTTAAATATTGAGATTTGTTGTTGGGTTTTCTTATATATATTTCCCGTGGAACCATGGTTTTTTGTAGATCTGGCTTGCTGAGTTTGCAATGATAATTTTGTGATGGAAATATATTTTGGGTGATATGTTCTGATTTCATTTACATCGGCCATATTAATGGGAAAGAGAATGGGAGATCGTGCCATTTATTTATCATTTACTTGTTTAGATATTTCAAGGTGTAGACTTCACATCAGCTACAAAAAGGAGTAAATTTTGTTCTTACAAAAAAAAGGAAAAAAAGAAAAAAAATGTAATACAGTCATGTTGTGATTGTATAACTCAAGGGTTTAAGACGAATTGATTTATTCAGGGCCGATGCTCAATCTCTTTATTGAAGCAAGGGAAGAGGCAGTCATCTCTTATTACATTTCAGAGGAAGTCTGGAATTAGAGCATCATCTACATCGTCTTCGGATCATTCTGATTCTTCCTCTCCGATTGCTCCGCTTCAATTGGAGTCGCCAATTGGCCAGTTCCTATCTGAGATACTCTACAGCCATCCCCATCTCCTTCCTGCTGCTGTTGACCAGCAACTTGAACAGCTTCAGTTGGATCGAGAAGCCCAGAAGGAGCAAGATGAACCACCTGCTTCCGACACTGACATCGTTTTATACAGGTAAAAGCTACTGACATTTTCTTTTATAAAATTCTTTTTTCTTTTAAATATTTATTTGTAATTTTTCTGTTGTGAAAAGGATATTTAAGTTGACTTTCGTCCCTGGATTCTTTTCTTTCACAAGTGGAATCCGTTTATTTTAGAGATCTTTGTTTCTGAGGGCTTCAACTAAATTTGAGCCCAATATATCCACAATTTTTTATATATGATATAGTTACGCTATGGATAGGAAGGTGTATTTTTTGTTAAATTACTGGGTATCTGGTAGAATTTGAGTTGTAGGGTTTATCCAATATGTTCTGGCTTTCATTCTAGCTACAAACAGTTTGTTAGTCATAGTAGAAATTAGAACTTCAGAAGAATAAATTTCTTGAATTTGTTGGGGTTATGATGAACGGTGTTATATACATTTTATATGAGCATAATAGAACATGACTAACTCATGTCTGATTGCCTAATTTAAATAACATAGCAAGCATAACAGAGCATGAATAGCACATGTTGATGTGCCTAATTTAAATAATATGGTGAATACTTTAAATAAGACAAAAGGTAAAAAATGTCGTATTCCATGGTGAGAGGCAAGTCATGTTTTTCACATGTTTTTATTTTTATATAGCTAGATAGTTTTCATTTAGCACCTCCCTCGAGCTCATAGAGAATTCTCATTGAGAGTGTGAAAAGTAAAAAATGTCGTATTCCATGCAGCACACAGTGGTTCTGATTAAATGAACCTATGTGTTGCGACTTATAGTAGAGGGCTAGAGGCTGATGATGAACCCAGATAAGCTCTTTGAAGGTGTAATGTTTAAATTTTCATATAATTTGCGGGTCTTTTTTTTCAAACAGTAAGTTTTTTTTGATGATATGGTATATCATATAGCGTCTTCTGTACCAGTAAGGTTGAAATAAATACGTTGCAAGAACTCTTGGTTTCCATGAAAAGTTCTATAATAATACCCTAACCTATCATGCATTGAATTTTTAGGAGGATCGCCGAGGTGAAGGCCAATGAGAGGAAAAGAGCTTTAGAGGAGATACTCTATGCTTTGGTTGTTCAAAAATTTGTGGAAGCCGGTGTTTCCTTGGTTCCCTCTTTATCTCCATCATCTGGTCCATCAGGGAAGGTGGATCAGTGGCCATCTGAGGATGACAAGCTCAAAACCCTCCATTCTCCAGAGGCTTACGAGATGATCAACAACCATCTCTCCCTTATCCTGGGCCAGCGCTTGGATGATCGAATCTCTGTTGCCCCAATTAGCAAGCTCAGGGTCGGGCAAGTATATGCAGCCTCTATAATGTACGGTTACTTCCTTAAGAGAGTGGATCAGAGATTCCAGCTTGAGAAGTCCATGAAAACTCTGAAAGAATCAATGTCCGATGAGTCTCAGCCCTCCGATACAAAACCTCATCCTGAAGTCTCTTCATTGTCTTCTTCTCCGAGCCTTAGTGGGATTGCTGACAGAATCAAGCCATGTAAATTGAGAACTTATGTCATGTCATTTGATGCAGAAACACTTCAGAGTTATGCAGCTATAAGATCGAAGGAAGCCCTTGGCATCATTGAGAAACATACAGAGGCTTTGTTTGGAAGGCCAGAGATTGCCATCAGTCCTCAGGGGACCATTGATTCTTCCAAGGATGAGATCATCAAGATAAGCTTTGGTGGGCTCAAGAGACTCGTATTAGAGGCTGTGACCTTTGGTTCTTTCTTATGGGATGTTGAGAGCTATGTGGATTCTAGGTATCATTTTGTTGCTAATTAAGTACTGTTTAGTTCAGATGTCGGTAATAAGTTTGTTGCAAGGCTGTTGACTTAAGTAACTTCTGTATGTGTAAAATATTTTGAATATTAAACACGGTAACTTATTGCAATATGATGAGTTGTTTTTCATGTGGCAAGGGTTTTTAAACTTTGTTGTTCTTGTTATTGATTCGACTTTCAGTTTGAGAGTTGGTTTATTTGCTTCTGCACATGATTGGTGTAAGATATATTAATGTTCTATTATAGATGATTTGCCAATTGCCATTGATAGAGATTAGCAGCATTGCTCAATATATCTGTATCTAAACCAAAGTAACTTTCTTGTTAAGTTGTAAGACATCCGCAGATAGTTTAGATCAACACATGCCCCTGAGAGCCCTGTTTTGGTTGAATTCTGTCAAGATTTTCTGTATTATATATTTATATGGTAAGAACAAACTTCAATTCCTTGTTGACAAGACTCTTAAGTAAGATTGAAGAGGTTGGAAAAAAAAAGTACTCTCTTTTACCCACGTAGACTGAATTCTTATTAATTCTACTCTCTTCTTTGCCTATTTATCATATGTCGACTTTATGGAACTCCAAAAAAATATCATAAATAAGAGCGAGGGCATAAAAAGTGATTTCAGGTGGGGATATGAAAATGGTAAAAGACAGCTCTATTTAAAGGCTTGGGATCCTTCAGCGAGAGACGAGCTTTATTGAGGACATACTGAGGACCCAATGAAAGGATACGGAGTCTGGCAGTCTCTCTCTTCTCACGAGACTATGTGCAAATAGTCGAAACCAAGTACTTCCCAGCTATCCAGCTATCTTTGGAAAGTGGGAAATGGCGCTTCTATCTCTATATGAAATGAAAAATGGATGATACCTGACTTCCAATTTAACCTGGAAAAATTAGATCAGCCTCGTGTTCCGATGATTGTTGAAGAACTAAATTGATGAGAAGACTTGTTCTTGGAATGTTAATATTTCAACGCATTTCTTTTAACTGAGTGGAGATTGCTGCAATAAAAAAAATATTCCACTTCGTAACGAATCGGGATCAAACGGAGATGAGATCTTGTGGCAATCAACAGCATTAGGCAAGTTTTCTTACAGGTCATCTTGTAAACAAATTATTCATGAGAGGTGGGGAGTGTCACCTTCTAATATCTTCATATGACTGATATTTCTCCCCCGTGTCCTTTCTGCAAGGTTTTTGAGTCGGAGGAGCATGTCCTTGTTTTCTTGTGCCTTTGCTAGGAGTATTGACGGTGCTGCTATCAATTTGGGTTCACGTGCATCGCAGCTCTCTAGGGATCATCTTGGAAACCTTACTGCTGTTGAGACTATTGCATTTCACCCCAGTAGAGCTGATTTCCCTGAGATTTTTGCAATCAAGGCTGCATTAAAATTGGCAGGAAATTGCCATTATCCTGTGAGTCTGTGACTATTGAAGGGGACGCTGAAGTGCTAATCAATTCAATCAATGGGACATCTTCTGCCCACAACTGGAGAGTGTCAAAAATTGTTGAAGATTGCAATAACACTCCTAACGACTCAAGATATTGTGCTTCATTCCATTTGCAGAGAGCTCAACAAGGCAGCTCATACCTTAGCTAAATTTGGCTTGATTCTAAATTGTTATGTTATATGGTCTAAGGGTAATCTACATGTGGATGGTGTAGATATCCTCTATCATGATCATGTAATGAAAAATATGATTAGTGGAATGTTTTTCTTTGGACTAACCCAACAAAAAATTATGGGAAGTTTACTTAGGTATCGTTTGGCAAAGGGTTAAGTGAGAGGTTAATGAGACTTAACCCCTTCTTAACCTGCCAAACACAAAAAATCTATATATGGATTACAGTGAGTTAACCCTCTATAATTTGCCAAACATGAAATATATAGAAATATTAAGCTAACCTCTCTAGAGGGATTAAAATGAGTTAACCCCTCAAAATAAGGGGTTTACTAATACTCCTATTTAGAAGGATTTAGAGCTAATCCCTCTAATTATAAAGAAAATAGTCAAAATCATTGTTATTTCCAAACACTAAAAATAATCATAAGGATTAATATAAAACTTATATAACGGGTTAATAATTTAGTCATTCGGATTATCGAATGGGTTAACTATGTTAATCCTTCTTCTTAATCTCTCTTCATTAACCATTTGCCAAATGGGGCCTAAGTGAATATATAGGGTAAAAAAAAGTATGGGGCATTTGAAATAAGAGCTTGCTTCAGTGCTTTGAAATTAGATTTATCTATTTTTCATTTAAAGGGCAAAATAGGTGCTTCATACAATTATACTTTTATCATTTCAAATGATCAAAAAAATTAATGTTGCTGCCCAGGATCGAACTGGGGACCTTTAGTGTGTAAGACTAACGTGATAACCACTACACCACAGCAACTGTTTGTGATAAGTGCTATCCAAACTTAATTTGTAATCATGAGTAGTTGTACGACTTACAACATATCTTATATAGTAAGTAATTATCATTACAAATCATACTTTTCCACGGTCAATAATACCATTTACGCTTTTGAATATTATATTTTAAACATAATTTATCCTAATCCTAATTATCCTATTATGTGAATTATATCACTATCATTAGGCATTTGTCCTCTTGGGCTCTCTAATGGCCCACGAGTAAATTGTACATGGACCTTGATAGGAGTGAAGATGTATACCCAGTCTTCATTAACAAATCTGGTTATAGTAAAATTTCAGTGTAGCTTTATCTATAAAACCAAACGATTAGTAGAAAGTTTGATCATTTAATTAAAAAAATGAAATTAATAGGCCCAAACAACCAAGAAGACTTTTAATTTAGCCAAAGTTATCCTGACCCTGATTATCCTATACGTAAATCAACAATTTAAAATCACTATAACTACTTATTTGTTCTATCATATAGCTGCCGTGAACTATAATCCTATCCTACTCCAACAACGTTATCCTATCCTAATCTTACGTACTAATAATTTAAAACTTCAAAGAAATTATACAGTTATTATCCAAATAAAACTCTATTATAATTATTATTCTCTCACATGTAATATCTCATGCCTATATATATAAGCGAAAAATTATAAAAAAAAATCATAACATTTATGTCTCCTTCAACAGATATGTGCCTTTGTTATTTTCTTATAAATTATTTAATAAGAAAATATGTTTCAATTACTATATGCTGATTTAGAGTTATTTTCCCTAAATATTTGGCACTTATTTGACATTCTAAAGAACAACCAACTACAAACTAATTTTCTTCCTTAACTTTACCTTTACTAGCTGCATTGTGATGTATGCCATCTATATGTGTTGGGGATTCAAAACAATCAAATCGAACCCTTGCCCTTCTGGACCTTGTGTTTGAGAGTAGGAAAGTAGAAAAAATCACAGCAAATAAAAGATAAAAACTTGCATAAAAATAAACAAGAAATAACACACCAGATTTAACGAGGTTCGGCAATTGTGAATGCATTCTCGGGAGCCACACTACACAATTCTTTGATTAATATTAAAGAAGATTATAATGCCCACAAATAGGATCTAATCTCTCTGAGATCTCTCTGAAGAATTCTCTCAAAACCCTCTTTTCTGATGTCTAATCTCTTCTAAGGCGTTCTATATATATAAAAACCTAAAATCAAAACATACTAGGAATTCTAAAACCAAAAAACAAAACAGATTATGAATCCTAATAACCTGTTACCAAAACAGATTAAGAATCATGTTACCAAAACAAATTAAGAATCCTGTTACCAAAACAGATTAGGAAACCTGCTATCCAACAATTTGTTTGATTCTAGCTTTGAGTCTATATCCTTTAGACTGACAATCTCCTACTTGGAGACCAAAACACAATCAACGAGCTCACCCGAACTCTCCATTCTTCGCAAGCATCATCCTACACGAAAAAAATCCATTCTTCAATCATCATCAACCCGGCGATCTCGACGATCCTCCTGGTGTAGCTCCGCCTTCATCTCTTACACGTGAAGGCCAACTGAATTTGCGCACAACTCTAGTTTGTCAATGGTCAGGGGGATAATATCCTCGTATAATCCACTCCTTCCCGCTATTGGAACCCCTTCACGACTAATCTGGTCTTGTATCTCTGGCTTTCATCACTCTCCTGCTTGACCCGATAGACCTATTTGTTTTGCAAGGATTTCATCTGTGCATGTAGCTGGACTAACTCACATGTCTCATTAGTGTGTAGAGAATCCATCTCCTCTTGCATCGCATGCTCCCACTGCTAAGATTCACTCACTTGTATAGCCTCCTCATAGCACTCTGGTTCTTCACTATCTGTCAAAAGCAAATAATCAAGTGATGAGAGATATCTGGGATTCGGTTTGGGTACCCTGGATGACCTCCTAAGCTCCACGCCCTGGGTAGTTGTCTCTGCACCTGGAGCCTCCTCCATTCTTCGGTCAAAATTATAAAAAAATTCATAACACTACTATAAGGTGCAATAAAACCAGACATTATCATATATCCAGCATTGCTAGAGATAATATTTATCTACAATATTAACATGAAACCAAATTATTAACTAATATTTTTTAAAACTAATAAAATAGTTTATATTTTAGTTTAAATTTATCACCTTTTATAAAACGCGATCCCCTTGGAGGAGGCATGGGCAATGCATCCTTCAAACTGTAAAGTCATTAGTTAACCCTTCCCGTCAAATCATGACATAACAAAATAGCTTATTAGGTATAACAACTCCAAGCCCATTTTGTGTGAGACAATCTTTGCGACTATGAAATCGAGCAACTAGGTTATCAGGGACAAAAGCATTAATGTGTATTACATCAATCATACTAATACAGTCCAGACCATTAAACATACATAATATATAAATTTCCTATTTTATATTACATATTAACTTATGAAGTATATATATAATGGATTGAAAAATAATCCACTTTACCTCAAACTAAGGGTACCAAGTTGATCTACAACGAACCTAATCTGATACCTTGCAAAATTCGCTTGCTTCATTAGTAATGGCCTCAGTTTTAATATTGCCACTAGGACTGTATTGAAGTACCTAATAGTTTTGCCTGAACGTATGAAGTTTATACCAACAACCCTATTTTATGCATTGTCATAC